GGACGAGCCCAGGCAGTGCCAGGATGCCCGCTGTGGTCAGAAGGCAATGCTTGTTTTGGGGCCCAGAGAAAAACACACGGTTCCATCGGGCTGGGCAACCCTGCGTTTCCCTGGCCTCGTTCCCTGCACCCCTCTCGGCTGGGGGAATGGTGGCTGCAGCCTGCAAAATCACTGCAAATGGGAACTAAATCCCCTATGGCACAGACACATGCAAGAAAGGGGAGCTGGAGACGATGGGGGCAAAGAGCCACTTGATGTTAGCCCAATTTTTAGCTGGGTGTGAACGTGTGCCAGCGCTGGAGGACACCGGGGGCGCATACAAACTGAGTGCAGGCATGGCCCCCATGTTTTGATGCACGGGGAGCTCCCAGGACACAGCTTGCCATAGTTCGGTGGCCTCTCTCATTCCCATCTCAGGATTATTATGGCAAAGAGCTGCAGAAATCAGAGGACCTGAAAACGAATGCGTGTGTCACCTCAGCCAGGCCCCTTCCCAAGGCAGTGAGAGATGCTTTGAAGCGTGTCCATGAGGAGGTGGTGGCCAGGTAAACTCTAGGGGCTCCCATCCTCTGCCGCCTCCCCATGGGCTGCAGCCCCCGAGACCACCACACCATGGGGGGCACCTCTGCCTGGCTCAGCTCAACTTCCCCCCAGGTACTATGGCTGTGGTCTGGCAATCCCTGAGTGCCTGGCGTCGTGCCGGATCCTGGACCTGGGCTGTGGCAGCGGCAGAGACTGCTACCTGCTGAGCCAGCTGGTTGGGGAGCGAGGCCATGTCACCGGGATAGACATGACCGAGGGCCAGGTATGGCACGGAGCCAGGGCTTCACCTCATCCCCCCAGCATCCCCTCACCGTTGTTCACAACTTGAGGCCATTCTTTCTTGTCCTATTGCTTGTTGCTTGGGAGAAGAGACCGACCCCCACCTCACTACAACCTCCTTTCAGGTAGTTGTAGAGAGTGATAAGGTTTCCCCTCAGCCTCCTCTTCTCCAGATTAAACAACCCCAGTTCCCTTAGCTGCTAGACTGGACGTTAGGAAAAATTTCTTTGCTGAAAGAGTGGTCAAATATCGGAACAGGCTGCCCAGGGGAGTGGTGGAGTCCCCGTCCCCGGGGGGGTTTAAAACATGTAGATGTGGCACTTCGGGACATGGTTTATTGGGCATGGTGGTATTAGGTCCATGGTTGGACTTGATCTCAGAGGTCTATTCCAACGTTATGATTCTATGATTCTCTTTGTCTTCCCAGGTTGAGGTGGCGAAGAAGCACATTGCTTACCACATGGACAAGTTTGGCTACCAAAAGCCAAATGTGGAGTTCCTCCAGGGCTACATGGAGAAGTTGGGCGATGCCGGGCTGGCTGACGAAAGCTACGATATTGTCATGTGGGTACCGCCAGGGCACTGCCACCCCCGGTCCTGCTGCTGCCTGGGGCTATGGGCTGGCATCCGGGTCCACATCCCACTGGGTCACCTGCTTCAGGAGCACGTGTCAGGAAAGGGAAAATCCCAAGGCAGAGTCTGGGCTAGAGCCTAGGAATATACAAATCGCCCTTTTCGTGGTCAGATCGGTATCTCCAAATCCTGCGTGAAGTGATGGGATGTGCAGCAGCCAGTGGTGCTGAGGGTGTGAGAGGGTACAAATAAGGCTCGGTCTCCTCCTCCCCAGCTCCAACTGTGTGATCAACCTTGCCCCCGACAAGAGGGCCGTGCTGCGGGAGGCCTACCGTGTGCTGAAGGTAATGCTGGGGCTGGCACCTGTGGCAGCAGCAGAGCACGGTTGGGGTGGCCCTGCTGTTGAGGCACAACTGGGAGGTAGCAAATGGGATCTAGCAAGGCAGGGATGTGGGATGGGGCCAGGGGAGGGCACCTCTGCAAAGGGTCCTGAGCGGCGTAGCGTTGGGGGTGCCCAGTTCTCCCTACCCCTTTTGTCTCATTGCTTCTTGGGGTCTCCCTTCACCCCTCACTTCCTGCCAGCCTGGGGGAGAGATGTACTTCAGCGATGTCTATGCCAGCCAGCGCCTGAGCGAGACCATCCAGAAGCACAGAGTGCTGTGGGGTGCGTAGGACTCCAGGATGGGGGTGGCCATGGGATGGGGGGACCGGACCTTTGCCTCCATCACCCACGTCTGTGGTCTTGTGCCAGGGGAGTGCCTGGCAGGAGCCCTATACTGGAGAGACCTGTACAGCATCGCCGAGGAGGTGGGGTTCAGCCCCCCATGCCTGGTCACCGCCAGTGCCATCACCATCAGCAACAAGGAGCTGGAAGGCATCATTGGTGAGCGTCCGACCAGGGATCGTCAGCTCCAGGCAGCTCTGAGGAGCCGTGCTGGGATCCTGGGCTCTGCCAGTTCCCAGCCCAGGCACTCAGTGCCCAGCCCACCAACCTCTCCCTTGCAGGCGACTGCCGCTTCGTCTCCGCGACTTTCCGCCTGTTCAAGGTGCCAGACAGCAGCTGGGCCGGGCCGGGCCGGGTCATCTACAACGGCGGGATCGTGGGGCATGAACGAGAGCTGGTGTTTGACACCAACTTCACCTTCAAGGTGTGAGGAGGTGCAGTGGGGCTCCCCCTGGTCTGTAGGGATAGGGTAAAGCTGAAGAAGCAGTACTGCTCAGCAGCATGCTCTGTGATTCTGGGGGTAAGCTTTGGTAGAGGGACTGGTGGGTGGGAGCACAGGGGGTGCATAAACCAGGGGAGGTGCAAACGAAGGTGGGAAAGGGAGCCAGACCCATGCATCGCATTGGGATGAAGGTAGGAGCAGGACATCCATGGTGGCTTCACAGGAGGGATTTAAACCAGCTGTTTGGTCTTTGTGGGTGTTTCTCAAGGTTTTGGGCCAGGGTTTGCCCTTGATTTCACTCCTCTCATCATCTAGCTGGGTGGCTGGTGTCCCCTGGGCCACATGTCCCAGACCCCAGCCCTGTGACAGTCCCTCTGCCCCCAGGAAGGAGTGGTGGTGGATGTGGATGCTGAGATGGCTGCGATTTTGCGGAGCTCCAGGTTTGCGGAAAAGTTCCTGATGCTAGCTGCCGAGGGCAATGCTGACGCACTGCAGGGCTGCTGCTGCCGGGGAGCGAAGGTTGGTAGCAGGCAGCTCCACGGCTGGGTTCAGGGATGGGGACATGGGTGTCCCATGCCATCAGAGTTGCCCTGGGGTATCAGGAGGACTATGGCTTGACACCAATAGACCTGAGTCCTTCTGGGCCAGACAGGAGCCTGTGGGGCGCCGAAGGTGATGCCTGGTGCCTGAGTTTGGGCAACTGCAGCCCAGTGCAGGTTGGAGCCCTCCAAAGGAGGGGGGTTTGCTCTAACCACCAGGTGTGGGAGCCCTTTGCCCCCCCAATATGTCTATGGGGGCTGCCAAGGCTGACAACTGGACCCGCCTGAGGTGTCCCAAGGGGAGACATCCTTCCCTGGGGGAGATGGCTGGGGACAGCCTGCCCCAGGGAGGTGATGGCCCATCCGTGCAGCTCCTTCCTGCCCATCGCTCTCCCAGACGCTGGTGTGAGCTTGGCCCTGGCTGCCAGCCCTGACCCTGCAGCGCAAAGCACCTCTAACTGCTAGAAGCCTCTCTCCTCCTCTCTTTGGTGGTCCCTCCAGCCTGTAGATGGGCCAGGAGAGGCAAGGGAGATAACACCCTGCAGCTGTGTGTCCCTGAAACACAACCTTGTACTGGGGAGGGGGAGATGTTCTTGGGTCCCCATCCAAGCAGGAGGCATTTCTCAGATAAAAGCAGAGCCAAAGTTCCAGAGAAGCTCTTGGTTTCCTCCTCGCAGCAGGGAAAATCAGCTGGAGTGACCTGGGAGCTGCTCTCACATTAGAGGGTCTGCTTGGGCTGCCCTGTTGGCAGGGAGCAAGTTGGGGAGAAATGCTGCTTTCCCGGGGTGCCTCTAGCTTCCCTCTGGCCTGATCCTGCCCTGGGTTGTTTCCTGCCCTCCAGAAGATCTGCAATCCTTTCCAGCTGCTGGAGCTGCTGGCAACCCCGGCTCCTGCCTGCTGTCCCCAGGGATGCTGCTGAGTGACGAGTGATGCCCCTGTGGCGGTGGATGCCAGCAGGGCAGGAGGATGTAGCCCCGGTGGCGTGTGGCTTCCACTGCAAAGCAAATAAATGGCTGAGCTCAAAGGCTGCGTGTCTGTGGCCAGGACCACAGGGCCCATGGGGTGCTATGATTCCCTGTCAGGGCTGGTGGGGCAGGTTGTGTCTGGCTACGGTGAGGACAGGCAGGCATCCTGTGGGTCCCCTTGCTATGGGGCTGGCAGTGGCCACATGGCTTGGACATGCAGGCAAGGACTGTCTCTGTGGAGAAGGGGTCATGGGTACCTGTGTGTAGGATGGTGGGTCTGGCGCGGGTTTGGCAGCAGCTACGCGGTCGTGTTGAGCCCACGGAGCAGAGCAGAGGCGTTTGCAGAAGGCAGCTTGGCAGAGCGGGGTGTGAAAGGAGGCCCTGACGCCACACAGGGCCTCACCCTGTGGCATGTACTTAGGGACATGGTTTAGTGGTGTTGATAGAGCTAGGGCAAAGGTTGGACTCGATGATCTTGAAGGTCTCTTCAAACCAAAACTGTTCTATGATTCTATGAA